AACACTTTGCATCAGACTTTATTCCATCAACATTAGAATTAAATACATTGTTGTTATCCAACTTTAAATAATTTAAACCTGAAGTATCCACTACATATATTATCTTGAAACTGCAAAATCTCATCTTCCTGTAAAAGTTATTACTCTCAAAAGGATGATGATAATTAGTCACTCTGAAAAAAAGTGAACTATAAACCAAAGACTTATAAAGGCAGTGTTCTATAATCACAGTCTAGCTAACCTATTAGTAATTTATCACTCAATTTTATTGCCGTATTTGTATCCCGTTAACAAAAAAATAATATTGGATGAGCTTACTTTGTAAAATACTACAGGAATTAAAAGATATCTTGCTTAACAATTGTTTAAAATAATAGATAGAGTTGTTCCCTATGTGTCTGTCTATGAACATAATACTTGTCTATGAAATGATTTTTTTTTCATGCAGACGCATGTACATAGGTATGCAAATTAAAACACACATACAAATATACATCTGAATGTATATAGTGCAAGTATCACTCAGGCATATGTAAATGCACACATACAAGTTCATTCTCACTCGCTGACACAAACACACACACTTGCACTGGCACATTTGCACACACACACATACGCATGCATATGCATATGTAGATGCACATGCACTCTCACTCACTCTAATATACAGCAATCTAGAATTTTATTCAGCATTTGCAATACTTAATCCAATTTTTTTTTTTCAGGCATCATAAAATACAATGAAATTATTTTACTGGAACAAACACACTGTCATTTAGAATCACAAAAATCAAAATCTAGTGATGCTTGACATTGAAAAAAAGGTATCATGCAAGTCATTCATTTTGGTACAACAATTATCATATATTTATAAGAAATACTTCATTATATTAGTTTAAATCAAATATTTAGATGCATAATACCTTTAGTAATAAAAGAAACAATCTAAATTGCTAATAAAATCATTACCAATTGAAGTCGAAATGAACATTAGCCATAAAAAAGTTCCCAACCTAAATATTAATCCTTAAGAAAACCTTTTTTATACATGCATAAAAGTTCATATACATTTGCATAAACAAAATAGATTCTTCTAAACGATAAAGAGCACCTCAATTATGCCTAGATTACACAGTTGCCAAAACAGCTTATTTTTTTCCTGAGAAAACTAGCCATGCAAAAGCTAACATCAGCACAGACATGCTGCAAAAGGGGGAATTAAGGTGCAAATCCTTACAATTTTGTTTTCTAAAAGATAAAAATTAAAGATATTGTATATTCTGGATGGTATAAGGTAATCAGTAAATTGGCTACATGTATTCTTAATCTCAAATGCTTTTCTCAGTGATACAAATATGGACTTTTCAAAAAAGAAAGAAAGAAAAAAATATCTTTCAAACTGTGGTTAAACACTAACCAAAATAGCATAAGAAAATAATACTGTATACAATACCATCAAATATGATTTATAGGCCTGATTTAATTTGAACTTAATGAATGTGAAAAACTGTATCTGTTATAATGTTTTCATCCACTCTTTGAATATTATTGCATTCTGCTTAATAAAATAATTTATTCTCGAGACATATAATTCCTACAAGAACAGTTAAAAACTGATAAAGAACAATTATCATCACAAATAGCAACATCTGGTGAGTGCAGGACCATTAACTGTATTGCAGTATCAGAAAAGCTCAAAGCAAAGAAAAAACTTACACGTACACAAAGACCTTCATTTGATGTTTCCAGTCATGACAAAATATTATTTGCTTATCTAGAGAAATCTTTGGCTTTGCAATCAGGCCCTATGTTAAATTCCACTCTACAAGCAGTGCAACCATTTGGTTCATACAAAAAATAAAAATGCAGAACAATCAAAGGCTAAGAAGCAAATCTCTCCTTTAATATCAATGATTACCTCTTTCCCATTTCTGGAAGGTGATGAAAGAGTATGAGAATATCAAGAAAACATTACACATCCCAAAATACAGGCTGTTACCCAGTGTGCACAAAAAGCATTTGGTGTATGTGATCAGCAAAGGCAATTATATGTAATACAAAAATGTACTGAAAAAGTGTAGTAAAACATATGAAACATTAATGTACTAAAGTAGTGGACGTAGGATTTTATAATGTGAATATATGTAAAGAAATATCAACATCATAAAACTCAAACCAACCTACTTGCAAAATCAATATGTAATACCTTTGCCCTAATGTTCAGGTAGTCCCATAAAAAAAAGTTACAATACTCAATACCAAAGTGTATTTGACGTACAAATATTATGGAGACTAAGAATCACACTATATACTAGACACAGTTCTTATACTATCTGTGCATTAATAAACTATACTATTTGTGTATGACATAATAAAGAGAAATATGTGCATACTCTTACTGAATCTCTTTATATGTGGAAAATATATGGGTAGTATGACAATAAAAGTAATCAAACTTACGTTAATCAAGGTTATATTTTCATTTGGCTGGAATATGTCCTACTGTATAGACAAAGCAAAGAATCATAAGTTAACTACTTTATATTTATGATTTTTACAAATTTCCTTTTTAAGTAATGGATCTATTAAAATATATCAGTTTAAATATAACAAACTATAGCAGTTAATATAACCTTAATCAATTTTCTTTTACATTAAACCTGTAAATAATAACAGATTTAGTATCATGTCTCTATCAACAAAACATGACTCATTTCCCAAAATCAAATGCATGTACTATTTTTTTCTTCTTCAAAACCAAATCAGAGTTATACATGAAATGAAAGCAAATTCATTTCTTACTCTGTCAAGATATTCTGCAATGAAGAATGAGTTAATAAAGGAAGTAAGAAAAAAAAGTATATAATACCCCTATATGAAAAAAAAAAAAAAGAAAGTAGAATTATTCTATAATTTAAAAAATTCTAAACCTATTCATACTGGAAAAAAAATCATATACCATTAGCCTAATTAAAGCATTGCACATTAATAACTAGATACAAAAATATCAATCAGCAGCTAATCACAATTTCTAAAAACTTGCTTATCTCTGCTTTATATTTTTCCTCTTCCTCCTCCTCCTCCCTCTTTTTATCCTTTTCCTCAACATTCATTCATTTACATTCAGATAAATGTGTTTGGTCTTAACTCCGCACATATACATGTCATCTAATTCATAGTTCTATGACAATTATACTGTCAATATTGTCTACCTAAAAAATGAATGAAATGTTTGGTACTTTTGTTCATCATTTATTCTTTGTTAATATGAACAAGAAGAAAGATAGAAAAGAGAATATGAATATGATATTTCTTTACTAAAGAGAATTCAAAGGACTTCCTTCTTATCAGAGACTAAGTGCTGTCAAAACAGGTCCATGAATAAAAGTGAACTTCATGCATTATCTTCTGAAAACAAATATAATTCAGAATGTGCATCTTTCAACATTTCATTGCAACCTTTATCAATAAATTACATATCAGATATACAGCATATCTGCTATATCTCTTTAAAGTCTTAAAAACTAATGCACCATTTTTGGAACTAGATTAATGTCATGTGCTACAATGAAGATACATACATAAACTAAAAAACCTTTTGTATAAGAAAGGCATTTATATATATTAAAAAATTATATAATTTTTATCTGCAACATTCTGGAGTTTTCCTTTAATATCACCGAAAAACTCCTGTTAAAATGTGTTTCACCACATTACTTTTAGGGAATCCAGACCACATTTAAAAAATAACAATAATAATAAATGAAACAAACACAAGCTTCTACTTTACACATCACTAACAAAGAGCCCACTGACATGCTCTCAAATACCAAAGGCAAATACGTGATACAAAGCAAAGAATTCACAAAATCAAAGACACATTACAACATACTTCACCATTAAAAAGCCAATATCAGCTGCATTTTAACTTCCTTAGTCTTAATCACAGATCCCTAGCTCCATTACAGTTAAGTTATATATACTCATTATCATTACTTCTATTCCTTATTCAAGTGTGAGGAAAAAATATGAAAAAAATATGTGGTTACATTTGCCCGTACACCATACTTAAAAACCAACCAATAAGATTTGTTCAGTATGTGAGGTTGAGCAAGAACGACGTGTAGCATGCCTGGTAGGCTATCTGTTGAACTTGAACAAGCTCTTCTTTGTACCTTTGGACTCTGGCGGCTGTGGGCAAAGGAGAAAAAAGAAAGTGAATACAGGAGATTAGTAAATTAGCTTCTAATGAATGGTAAAATCCATAGGGTTAACATTTATGACATCTGCAATATAGTACAGATGTAATGAAATTTGAGTGAATATTATGATTGTACTCTTTGTTTTCCTATTCCTGGAAAGAGAATGTAAAAAAGGAAAGAATAAAAAATAATTTCACACATACATGTACATGTGCGCAAAAAAAAGAAAGAAAGGAAGAGACCAAAAGAAAAAAAATTACCATCAATTTGCTTCCCAACAAGAGTCGAGCCTTTTCTTCTTCATTGGGTGTGGCAGCTTCATCTGCTCGGAAGTGAGCCAGGTTCAACTTGTGTTTGATGGCCTGGAGGTTATATGGGAATAATATTGATAAGTATTGATAAGTATGCAAAAATCAACACTAAACAAAGTGATATGTAGCATTGAATGAATTCATTAATAATAGGAAAATAAATAAATAATTCTAAATACATCAAATATGCAATCAATCGTATTAAATCCTAAGGCTGTTCACCTGAGACAAGAGAGCTGATTTTGAATCCTGCTTCATAGCCATTAAGAAGTCGAGCCATGTCCATGTCACATTGTGGTATTCTAGGGTCGGCACTACCAAGCGGAAATTTGATACATCTTCAATGTTCTTTTCCTTTTTGCCTTTGTAGCTGACTCGCACTGGAAGCTCTGGGATCTTTATATAGACAAATAACTTGTTCTGCTCAGCTCGTTGCTGCATAATGGGAGAGAAAGATGGGGTTATTTTCTCTTTTTTCTCATTAATAAAATTTTACCCATAGCTTTACATTGTTTTCATCAATCACCCACAGAAAAAAAAAAAAAAACAAAAAAACATAAAATACGAAAAAAACAAAATCCCTACTACACATATATGTAAAGAAGTAAACATAGTGAAATTTCCTCCTACAAACACAGGTTACAGTGAAAAATAAATACACCAGTATACCCTATACCAAGGCAGTGAAGCCATCCGAACATGCATCAATTTACCTTCATAATCTCGACATCATCCTTATCTTGCAGAGCCACATAAAAGTTGGACTCCTTGTGAGATTTCCGCAGTGATGCTTGTTTCTTGCTGCCACGTGTGGTCTGGCCTCCTGAGAAGAAATGCGGTTGAGTGATACCAAGGCATTTCAAAGATTACTGGTAATGACTAACCAAAAAGTGCAAATTCTTAATCCAGTTAACAGAGGCAAAATAGAACTAAATTAACACAGCACATTTAAAAGTGATAAACTTCCTTAGATTTCATAATCTTCACTACTTGGAAGGTGATGATGATAAAGAAGATAATGATAAAGCTATCAATCATATAAATGACTAAAAAAGAAAAATGGTCTTCCAGTAATACCTGATGAGACCTCACTTCCCGCAAACTCCTCTTCTGTTGTGTTGTCTGGGAAGCAGAACTTCATCATTGTTTTGAAGAACTGATAGGTCAGGGCTGTAAAATTGAACAATTTACTTAATATTGGTACCTAGAATGAGATAGTATAGCATCATTTCTAAAACTAAAAGAAAAATAAACAAAGATTAGTAATTTTTGTTTCTGTTTTAAGCAATAACAGATTCTCTACTAAACCTTTCTTAGAAAAAAAGTTATAAATAATACTAATTGTATTCTATTACTGCTATTTGCTACAAATCAAATGGAAATGGGGAATTCTTACCAATATTTAGAGGTACAACATTAACCTCAAAGTGTTCAATGATAGATATCCCACCACATGGGGGCTTCTCTCTGCAGAATATTCGTAGAGTCCTCTGAAAATACAAGCAGATGTAACTTGTATCAAATCAATGCAAGAACAACATAACACAATAATACTTAGATTTTCTTTACTTACAAGAGAATGAAAAGAAAGAAAGAGAGAAAGAAAAGTTTATGATTATACAGCTACTATGATATATATATATATTTTATAAATATTAGCCTCTTATTCTTACAGGGAGAGTAAAACTTGATTACAAAACTATTATAATGCAACCTGACCTACCTGACGATCAACAGGCATGTTCATCTGCAGCTCAGACGGCATGAGAACCTCTTGGTAAATTTGATTGGGCAAAAGATTCCTCATGGTGACATACCCAAGCTCCAAAAGATGTTCTCCACTATCATCTGCATTGGTCTTCTTTGTGTACCTGTGATAATTTTGAATGATTAGTCTAAAAATCTGATTTTTATTTCAACGTTTTATTTGTTTTTACCTATTATTTTTAATGCATTGCTCCTCAACCTTTCTTTGTATTCATATCAATGAATAAGAATAGCCTTTTTCAAGTAATTCATTCATCCAGGCAAACCATGATGCACCAAAACTTACAAGAAATTTGAGAGCACCAGATCTGCAATACCTAGTTGTCCATCCTTCTCTGTCAATCGCCATTGAGCCTTCCTGAAGCTAACTTCGTTCATCCGGATTACTTTCGTCTGGAAGAGAACAAAGGCAAAACAAGATATAAGCTATCTCAGCATATTTTATCTGTTTTACTGAACAGATTTTCTTCACAAATTTCCTCCTGCTGAGGATGTGTCATCAATTTGATAAAATAATGCCTAACTGCATACTCTTAAGCAAGCTAAGAGATTATATCAAAACTCTTTTAAAACAATATTAAGCAATAAGAGAAAGGACTGGAATAAGAAAGCAAGCCAGAAGGTTACCTGCTTGTCTCCACCTGATGATGTCCACTTGTGATTAGCAGAGAGCTGGGTTTCATTGTACAAGTGAATCCTCATGGCTAATTCTTCACTTAAGCCATTAACTTTTTCTTTGCACTCTGCCACCTGCAAAAGTAAAATAGTTTAGTGGTCACACACACAAAAAAGAGGTTTATCAAAATTATTTACCAGATTTATGAATTGAAAATCACCACAAAAAAACCTTACCTGCTTTTCTAGTACTTCTTTTTCATCTAATTTCTGCTGATTGGTTGGGTCATTGAGGAGGTGTCTTTGGACAAGATAGACTTCTTTCTCTAGTGATCTCAGCTGTGACAGATGATACCTACAAAATCAATTACTTAATGTACTTAACTTGAATAAATGAGAAACCTACAAATTACTCTTACTGTCTTACTGGAAAGTTGCAATTAGAAGGGTGATGAATGGCAAAACTATTCTATCTAGCTAATAACTGCAGCTAAAATACTACTACCACTACTATTAGTACTACTAGTACTACTACTACTATAATTTCAGATGAAAAGAAAAGCAAGCTGTTTCTCTGCAGTAAATACGAATATATCATGTACCTGTCTATGGGTATACACAAGGAAAGTAAGGCAGCATACACCCATCCATATCATTCTATGACCCTATGGTTATGTGGCTACACAGAAATAAACATAAACATTAACTTGAACATAACAACCAACACAATGAGACCAAGTGATTCCTTCTTACCTAACTTGATTCTGCAGCCTGATGATGGGTTTTCGCTGGTCATCTCTTGAGTAGAGCTGGAGCTGGAACCTCATGCGGGCAACAGCCTCACTTGCTTCCTTTTTCTTTGGGTCCACATACAGGAGCAGGTTGTTTAGGATGTCTACAACCATGTTATACTGCAAGGAGAAAATGGGCATTATAAGGGAAAGGGGAAGAGGGAGGAGTAAAAAGAGGAAGAGAAGAAGAAGAGAAGAGGAAGAGAAGGACAAGGAGGAGGAGGAAAAGGGTGAGGAGGAAAAGAAGGACGAGTAGGAAGGGAAGCATGAGGAGAAAATAAGAGAAAGGGAAGGGAAAAGGGAAAGAGAAAGAAAAAGAAATTATGATGGAGGAGACGATGATAATGAAAGAAAAGAAGAAAGAGAAAGAAAAGAGGGAGAAGGATGAGAAGCAAAAGGATGAGAATGAGAAAGAGAAGGAGGAGGAGAAAAAGGAGAAGAAATAGGAGGTGGATAAAAGATGCATAATAATAAAACATATTCAAATTATAAACTGGAAGATGAAAGACTAATAATACCTTTAACAACACCTTTTCCTTATCTTTCTTATTTCAACATCCATTTGTTTAAAAATAGATACCTGCAGGGAGTTAGTGCTAGCACAGAGATCATGATGGACTAGTGTGAAGGTGTCAACAGCTTCCACATTGCGGCTCCAGAGGTCATCTTCAGGGAGTGGGGGATGAACTTCTTCCAGTAGAGAGACATCCAGGCCAGTTTCACCATAAGCCACATAATAAAATTCACACTTGCACCTTGATACTATGCGTTGCAGCTATTGTTGGGAAACGTTAGATGTTATGTTACAAGTTAAGTCATGTGTACAAGAACATGGAAGAAAAGAGAAAAACAAGGGAAAAAAGAGAAGTAATTTTCAGTTGGTTTGAAATTGTTTTCAATATCTTGAATTGATGTACTGCTGAAGCTCCTTAAATCCATGATAACACATGTGAAAAAAATGTTTCTCACAAACTAATTCAAGGTCTGTAATATATAAAACTCATATAAGAATCTGTACATTAACAAGCACTTACTTGAAGTTCATCATCCTCATCCATTGATCCAACGGTCTGAGAGACTACTCCACCCACAGACTGTCCACTTCCCACTATATCAGCCACTTCATTGATCACTTGCCCATCTTTCTCTTCAATATTGTCCAATGTTAGCCACATTATGTTATCTGAAGAGAGTGGAAAATTGATGAAGGTACACATACACACACTCACCCACTCACATGCATACACATATATCATATCCATACACAATGACAAAGAAAATAAAATTCTGAAAAAAAGAAGACAAGAAAATGAAAAACATATATACAAGCACTCTTACCCATCTGTGTCTCCTTGTCCCCAGCACTACTAACAGTGGCATAGTACTGCATGCATTCTAGTGACCCAAACCAAGTGGTCTTCGTGACAAGGGAGTGATCCTGCCATACTGGACGGTGGATTCGTTGCAGGATCTGTGCGTTGGCAGCACTAAGGATCACATAGCCATTTGTTTCACAGCCCTTCAGAAGGACTTGACTGTTGACCAGAACAACTGCAAAAAGGTAGATTTAAATTCAGAGGAGCCAAAGCAGAAAGTTATGGAGTAGTAGCAGATACAGGCTATAACAATAACCTTGGGCAATTTATATCATATCAGGAAGATCATAGAATACTTACTAAGCCACTTCTTGTGAATGACATCATCAACAGTGCAGGCTTTAACACCATGGGGTATCTGGTCTCTAGGCTCTGTGTTTGAACAATCCTCACTGAATGCAACCTGAAATGCCATTAGTTTATCTTGACCACTTGTTAATTTTATGAGCACACACAAAAAACACAGACACACAAGCATTAACAATAATGCAACCAAAATGAAGAAATCAAAATTATGTATAAAACATTAAAAACTCCACCTCCTGAATGGTAAACTCACTTGGTTATTATCAGCTTCAGCAATAAGCTGTTGAAGCATGGCTTGAGCATGACCAGACTGAAGGCGTGACATTGGTGAAGGCGTGGCTTGGACTGGAGGAACCTGAAGAAAGACACTTATGAAAAATTCTTTATTTTTTCTGATAAGAACACATGAAATTGTTAAAAGCACTAATAAAAGGAATATCCAGCCCTTCACTTGCCTGTAATGATGCTGTTGGAGAGGTTAGGTTCTGTGGGGTTGAATTGTCTGTAATGGATCGACTTCTAGGCTTCTGGGGTGTAGAGGCCTCTGGATTGTAGCTCTTTATGATGTCTGGGGTCAGGTTTCGCCGGAGCTGCTGTGACTTGTTCCAGGAGTCGTAAAGGGCAAAGACAATGTCTCTGTTGTTAGTGGTCCAGGCTCCCTAGATAAAGGAAAAGGCAGTTATGCATGCATTTACTAAATTGATATAAATGTTTTTCTTCAGTATGCTAATAATAGTGTAATACAAAAAAGGGCAAGCAAACTCTCAAAGAAACACCTACTTTCAGGCCATGTACTACAAGACGGTGATTAGGCTTATCACGAAGATTTGGATCTGGAGTAGATTCTGCTGGTGTAGGGGTGAGGGTCTCTCTTGTGTACTCTACTCGGTTTACATTCAGGAAATAAAACTTTTCGACAGGTGCAGAAACAGGCTCCTGAAAAGAAAAAGAAACAAAAATATACAAATATATCAATGACCATCAATGAATAAATATTTCATCATTCGTAAGATGCTTTTCCTTTCTCTTCTTTTTCCTCACCGCATTCATATTTACAAACCCATTGCCTAAACCAAAACTTTCTCTGAACACTTGTCCTTCCCACGCACCTGTGGGCGATCCTCTTCATCACTGAAGGTGGTGTAGTCCTTCATTGCACTTTGAAGCCAGACTTGGGCCAGGCAGAGTTCTGTGTTGAGGTACACGATGCTCCAGCTACTGCGAGGGCGGTGCCGTAAACCATCATTGACTGGGATCAATGTTAGCTTGTGCTCTGAGAAAAGAAACGGTGTGGGTCATATTAGCTGAACTTTCAAGTATGGTCAAGTTCAGTGAATGTATTTTTTAAAACTTTTATAACTTTTTCCCATGTCATGGGGAAAATATGAACTGAACACTTTTATGAGATTAAACAGAATGCAATGAACAGTTAGTTTTCTCACTTGAAAAAGGTAAGTTATATCTTATTTTCCAGCTCCATGTAAAATATAACATGCAAATGCAGCCTAATATAAAAATACCAATACTTTTTTTTCATTACTTATTTTAATGAATCCTTAAAAAAAAACTATCATTCCTAGAAAAAACACTATACAGACAATTATTGATAAAAATGAATATATAATACACAATATAATACTACTTACCAGAACTAAGAGACAGTCTTTCACCACTGAGGTGGAATCCCTTTCTGACTCCCACAGACATCCAGTACCGTACATCAAAGCGCTACAGAGAGAACATTGTTAGGAATTAATTTTTGATAAATCTGTTGTTTGTCAATCAATCAATCAAATCCTGTAGCATATGTATTCAAAGGTAAAAGATTAAGATAAAAAGGAAGATACTGTTGATGGAGAAACTGAGCCTGCAAGTTATTTAAAAGTTAATGATATCTAGGAATACAAAAATGGAGGTAATGGTGATGGTCTGCCCACCTTGAAGTTATACTGAAAAGTAGCCCACCTTAAGGAATTGCACACTTAGACACTCAAAAGAAAAGAGGAAAAAAAGTGGAAAAAATGGAAGAAGGGTAGACACAAAAAATGAAAAGAAAAAAAGAAAATGAAATAAATATTGAAAAAAAATCTATATCTAACCTGAAATGACACAGAAAGGTGTATGCTGCTGTAATGCCTCGATAACTGAGGTTTGCGTGCATGTGTGTTATTGAAGAGTGGGCCTCGCCTGGTAGGTCGAGCAACACCCGATAGGATGAACTTGAGATTTTCAAACCATCTGGAAATAGTAATGGAAACTGCATGAAAACATACTCAGTGAACAAAAGAACTGACATAAAATTATTGTTTTTTAAAATGCAATCTATGAAAAGATATCACTTGAGATATCTGGCTATATTAGGTAATAATTTGCATGAAAATAATAACCGTCTCAACATAAAGAAAAATCTTTATTCACCAATATCAACAATAAAGGCAACATATGGATTGCAAAACCCCTAAAATAAAGATTAAAAAAGGTATATAATGCTAACTAAAAAAATCAAGTTCAGCACCATTGTACATGTGTAGAAATATATTATATAATAATATTCTTATCTAGTACTTTGCATCTGTACAGCATGCTAATTATGGGATCTGAATACCTGACTGATTGCAAGGGATGACAGATATATGGACAAAAAACTAGACATCTGCACTTGCTACATGAGGCAGTGTATAAGCAAACAACAATATATAGTATATCATCACTAGACACTGAATTATTCTCAGTTGTAGTCCTGCCTTACGCATCACAAAAGCATAACATTTTAAAAAATCATGTGGATTGGATCAAGGCCTTACCTCAGAGTGCTGCCAAAGAAGAGTGCTTCAATGACTGGAGCAGAAACAGCTGTGTTGGCCTTTTTGGGTGTTTTCGTTTCCAGCTGAATGTTCATACTCAGGTTCTGAGAGCGAAAGGCTCTGTAGGAGTCGTGTTCCTGGAATTTGAATAACAATTTTAACCTCAGATTTTTTTGGGTTTTGGATAGCTAAATCTAAAAGAGAATGTAAATAGTCAGGACAATTATGAGGCCAAAGGGAAGAATTTTCCTTAAAAAGAAAAATCAAAAGTAAAGAAAAAAACAGCACCATACTGTCATTAACCTAATAACATACAAATTCTCATCCCTTCTTTCATTTTATTACCTGGTTACTTGAATATTCTGGGAGTTTGTCTGGTGCACAAAGCATGACCGAATGGTGGTCATTGGGGTTCCCTCGACACTGCCAGATCATCTTGACTGTAAGCTAGTCCAGTGGAAAAAAAAGGAGAAAAGGGAAAAAGAAGAGGAAAAATATAATTAAGTAAAAGAGGAAAACAAGTTCCAGTATCATTTATAAATCCATAGAAATACAAGATGGCATAATTTACATAATTGAACAAAACTATGATATCAAACTTTACCTTCAGGTTTGGGACATGAAGGAGCCTAGCATCATCATACTTGGATGCTGTTTTTACTGACACTTTCAGATTTCCCTTGAATACCAGTTTTGCTGGAAAAAAGTAAGACAAAATGATACAGGAAAACACAAATACAAACAAACAAACAGACAAACACACACTTACTTTAGTAAGAAAACTTTACTGATTACTATTCATAAGACAAATCAATTGTATATATTGCATAAGGCTTATTAATAACAAAGTAAATAAGGAAAAGATAAACCAGTTAAATAACACGTATGTTCATCGTTATGTAATCTATTTTTTGCAGACAAACAAACAGAAGCCATTTTTCATTCATATGATAAAAATACTAGAAGAATGAGAGAAAAAGATCATAAAAGTAGAAAAAAAAGAAAGAAAAAAAGAACAAGAAAAATTACTGCCAATCACTGAGAGGTTTACCGTTGGTCCAGTCCATGGTGAGGCTTGTCCAGGTGAGCTCCATCTCCTCAGTGGTGTTATAGGGGTCAAGTGAGGCATGTAGGAGGAGGGTCATGCGCTCGACCATGAGAGTCAGGCGGCCATGGAAGAGAAGCCTCATTTTGTCCCACCATGGCAGTGGTGTTGAGGGATCCCGGGACGGCTGGTTGATGAGGGAGAGAGCTGGAAAATTGGTTGAAAATATCTGTTATTGACAGAAGAATGGAAGCAAAAAAAAAAAATCTGTTTTATTTACATAAAGTAAGCAGAAAATAAGGTCACTTCAAGCCAGCATAACAAATACTATTGATACTTAACCGAGATTAAATTGAGCAACTGCAGGTTCCCAACATGGACCATAAGCTGCAGTGAAGCTTTTGACCTCGCAGGAAAAGTCGTGATAAAATTTGAGTGCTGACATTGTGCGTTCAACCATAGTATTCGACCATGGTGCTCCAACCTCCACCATCACATTCCTTATTGCTATAAAGAAGTTGATTATATATGCTACCTAAATAATAAAAACATTATTCTACTAATATCACAAAGCTCTTTTTACAATGTATCAAAAATTAGTAAGAAACCAATGACCTTGTATAAATTTGAATTAAACTAAACTAACTTAAACTTTGATCAAACAAGCACACAGGCATTATGCATGTATAAGATCTTTCAAAAACTTTCAAAAGAATACCATAATACCTCTTTTACTGGCCTTCTGCTCAGCACCAATAAGTCTTCCCCAGATCTCAAGGTCGGACATGTCTAAGAGGGACTGAGGATAATCTCTGAGCTTGAATTTCCATTCCGCACAAGAGGCAGATATCATGCGGCACCAGAGTGTTGAAAATTCCTGGCCCTCTTGTGGCCATGGGCTGTAAAGTGTGAGAAAATAAGCAATGTGAGACAAGGCCATTATATGACAGAAAGAAATATAAATAATAATGATGGTCTAAAGGCAAAATCCATTTAAGTTAAATAAAAATATCACACAACTGTTTTCATTTTGCAAGCCGATTTTCCCTCCACAAAGCATCAATGCAAGACATAACCTTTTGGTTTATAAACACATGATGTAGCATGTTAAATTTTGTAATAAGAAAAATCTGTTTCCTCACCAACATTTTCCTCCTACAACCTTCTAACTTCATCATATATTTATGTCTGTACCTGTCACCAATAACTCATTCTATATCACTGCTGGAAGGTGTGCCCTCTTTACTGCCAATAACAATTTCTTGAAAAATAACCAATGGCAAATCTTTCCTTTGACTCAAAATTTTGATAAGCAAATATGAGTAGCTGTGGGAGAATGAGCCAAGAGCCATTTTGTAAAAGTTTTAGAAATTGCTTCTGAAGTTTCACATTCTACAACAGAGGTGAAAACTATGCTATCACAGGTCTTGGGCATTAGGGACTGGACTTTGTATATAATTTTTGTATATAAATTTGAAGATGTAATATCAAAATGTCAGTTATACATATTGCAATGTGAAATGATGTATTTCACTATACATATCATAATAAACTTTTCAAAACCATATCTGCACTTAGAACCTAGTTTTATTCTGGGTGTCTACCTCAATTAAGATAGCAACCCCCTTGATATGAAGATTCTTATACATGTAATTAATGGAAATCTAGTACAGAAGACATCTGACTTACGACTCTTGATCAATGTCAACCATGTGTTGTATAACTTTCTCTGTTCCATGGAAAGTTGGATCAGCCATTGCAAATATCACTACATCCTCCATCG